AAAAAAAAAACAGACATTATAAAAAGCAGTGCAGGTACATCTGCATTACCCAGAAATTTATAACTTTATCGTACAACTACAGCACATGCATATGATTATACAAACCATGAAGGCTAACTCACAATATAATAAGCTTTCGGGATCTTATACATTAGATCGAGCTATACTACACCGGCAATAATCTTAAAATGTGTGATTTGTGACTGCTCACACAAACCACGGTGAAAATAGAACAGGAACTACAATGAAGACTCACTAGTAAAACAGCTATAACACCTTTAAATAATTGACGCAAACCCTAGCCAAATATCTACGCTTAAAACGGAGACTATATCGACTGTAATTAGCAAAAAAGTAGGACGACAACAACGCTAGCACAGGAAGAAGATGATGTCAAATGTATCACCGAATGGTCTACTGCAAAAGATTAGAGCCACAGACTTTGGTTTAGATAAAACCTTGATCAATTCCTTGAGAGCGCGAGAAGAAAATCTAATGGCTAGAGTGAAGTGCAAAATAACGAGACTAAATTGACAAGAAGGAAATAATTCTGCTGTATCTTTGCAATTTTTGCTACCAATTTTCGCTAATTTTCGGGAGGACTAGTTGCAACACTAAACAAAAAAACCAATCCTGTTATAAAACACGCGATTAGTAAAGGTGTAACACCTGATTTAGAACAAACATGACACGCATACTAAATGCAAATAGATTTTTACCGGAAAAGGTGAGCGTCCTTCAGTATTTGCTGAAGTCCAGCCATTGTTGACCATGTGGCACCAGTTCGTTCGAATTCTTGCTCGGCCCAATCACTTCGGAGACAATCAACACGGCGCGCCGATAAGAACAGCGGTTTACCTAAGATTATCTTTTGGCCTCGAACTTGCCTACTGCTCAAAAAAATCTAACCTCTTCTAAGATTTCGGTCTTCTTCACCATGTGCATCCAAATATACTGAACCCCATACGGCTGCCAAGCCTTCGCGAACAATAACGATCAGTGACGAGTTCAATGCAATGAAACAGCAAGCGTCGCCGCCACATTCCAACGAATGCTAGAATGCAAAGAATACAACAAATTAACAGCAACACTCCAGCACTGGTACAAAACAAAATTTGCGAAACAACATCGTTGAATTTTAATTATTCAAGTCATTGGAGGAGATTACTATTATCACCAAAA